GTGGGGGGTGGCAGGGGGCAAGAGTTGGCTTATAAATGAGCCTGCTACAAATAAGATAGCCAAGAATTATGGAGCGCCGTTGGGGGGTGGCCAAATATTTCCCCTGCCAAAGGGCTGGAAAAATAAGGGCACAGGATGAATGTCACAGAGGGTGCTGGCCCCCCCATCTGGCTTCTTCCTCTCCCCCTCCGACCACATCAGCCCTCCTCCGTCCATAAATCCAATTTTATTGCCTCCAGCTACCAAGACCTCACCAAATTCAGGGCAGGAAGGATTTGCCCCTGGATTTGGAACTGGGACCGTAGCGCCGCGGGACCGCCCCCAAGTTGCTAGTCCTCAAGATTCTCGATCAGAAGCAGCAGAGATCCGGCGAGCCGAGAGCTGCGGCGGTGGCAGGACAGGACGAAAATGCCCCGTGATTGAATGGGCTTTAACCAGACCTGCAACTAAAGAACGATGAATAAATGACCGGACCCCCCGCCTTGGGAGGTTCATTTCAGTCCTTTTAGTTTAGTACTTTTTTTTTATCCCACCTTTGCTATTTTTATGAATAACTCAAGGTGGCAAACATACCTGATACTCCTTCCTCCTCCAATTTTCCCCACCACAACAACCCTGTGAGGTGGGTTGGGCTGAGTGAGAGGGACTGGGCCAAAGTCACCCAGCCGGCTTTCCTGCCGAAGGTCATACTGTCATGCCATAGCAGCTTTGTGAAGAGCAATCATGGGGGTGGGGGGGTGCATGGCTCTCTGGAGATGCCAGTTTGGTACCCCCTTTTCTAAACAGAGGGTTGGCATCACCTGATCCCCCAAAGGGCTTGTTCAGGGGCCCTTCAGTTACTACGGTACATTCATTAAAGTGCATTAAGTAGATGAATTGGTAGGTTATGTTAAGCTGATTTAGCAAGTTTTGTGAATCTTCCTCCTCCTCCTCCTCCTCCAGTGTGATTACAGAACTGAGATAGAACTGAGACCACCTGGATCAAAGAGGGTTGCCCGGCCCCTAAGGTTTGTCCGGCGTTCCTCTTTGCTCCCAGATGCTCTCCGAATTCTTTTTCCTCCCTTTCAAAGACCTCTTATGACCTTCACCCCTTTCTTTATCTCTTGCATATTGCAACCTTTCTCTGCCCATGATCTTCGTCCCTCCGATGCCAGCGTTCTCTGGTGTCCAAAGGTCCCCCTGCCTCTCCAAAAAGTTCCACCCGTCCCTGTTGCATCCGAGTCCTGGACTTGCCTGCATCCCCCTCCCTCCTCCCTCCTTCTGCAAGATGCCCCGTCTGTTTTCGCCCTGAAGGAACAGAAACTTCACCGGGAGAGGAGGCGTGAGAAAAGGATCTCGCAGCTGACCAAAAGCCAAATAGGAGCTGGCAGCTCTGTGACAGAGCTGCTAAACACAACACACTTTTCGCTGAACTCTAAAATCCCCTGAAATCCAATCAACCGCCAGCTTCCTAGGTTTCAGGAAATTATTACAAATGGGATTATTTAAGAGGGCCTTTGAATGATAAACCCTGCCATCTCTTTGTCGTCGGCATTTTCTGGCTACTTATGAGGTTTTTAGTTTATGGCATTATGCCATTAAGGGTAGTTTTAATATTATTCTGTTATGGTTTCATTTGGATTTTTTGTACTGTGGATATTTTATTGGAATTTGATTATTGTAACCTCCTGAGACCATTGACTGTGGCGAGCAGAGTCCATTTCTTTGACAAACGTGCAACGGAATCTCCCATCTGTTGATTATTTGTGTTTAGAGATGGTCCTCTTTTGTTTTCAACTTCAGCACAATCTCTTAACAAAGATGCTGCCTTGGCCAACTCTGGAATATAGCTAGTCCTCACTTAGCGACCATTCGTTTAGTGACCATTCAAAGTTATGACAGCACTAAAAAAATGTCTTACGATCAGTGCCCAAAGTTACAATGGTTCCAGCATCCCTGCAGCCACGATTACAATCCAGGAGCTTGGCAACCAGCTCACATTTACAATTCCAGCATTCCAGGGTCACATGATCCCCATTTGTGACCTTCCCAGCTGGCTTCTGGCAAGCCAAATCAATGGGGAACTGTGAGATTCACTTAACAACTGCGGCAATTCGTTTAATGACTGGCGCAAAAAAGGTCGCAAAATCGGATGCAGTCACATGATGATTCGATTAACAACTGCATCACTTAGCGACCTAAATTCCGGTCCCAATGTGGTCGTTAAGTGAGGACTACCTGTACAGATTTTTGCCAAATGTTGGAATCGGATTATTTCGAACCAAATCTGAATGCTGGAGTTTAAATCAAGCCCTTTCATTGCCCACTGCTATCTAATTTCATCTCAGAACTGAAATCAGCAGAAGTTGGACAGCTATGTATAATTTAAGAAAAGGATCTCTTCCTTTGCAAACAATCATCCGGAGGAGGCATAACTGTAACTCTTTCATTCTTTCCGACAGCACCAGAAGCCTCCCCCCGCCATCTGATGCACCAATTCTGGGAAGAGCACTCGCGGGACTCCTCGCTGCAGGAAATGATGCTGGACTCAGGAGCGCAGGAACTCACGCTGGAAGACACGCCTGAGATCCTCAGCCTCCTGCCTTTCCTGGAAGGACAAGACGTGTTAGAACTGGGAGCCGGGATAGGGTGAGTGACCAGGAGGTCAAGAAGAGGCAGCATGGAAATTCTTATTATTATGGTTGGTCACACAGTCAGCCAGATGTTTAGACTGGATTTGGCCTTTTTGTCCACCAATCGAGTCCTTCCCAAGGACCTGGGATAGACAGATGTTGTTGGATGGCGCTAAAGGCATTGTCGCAGGACAGAAGCAGTTCCAAGCAAACCTGC